GCACACTATCTACAGTTCGTGCACTTCATCGTGGTCATTGTTTCATTTGTTTCTCAGTTGGCCTCCACGATTTGCTCCCTTCGTCCTCCCCTTCTTCTCCGAGTTTCTTCAAGGCTGCCGTGGCAAGTTCAAGGTTCTGCTGTGATGCTACTAGCGCGTCGTTCGACTCTGCATCCACCATGCGTTCTTGTATGCTTCGTCGCTGTGTCAGTGGCTCCATCATCCGTTGTTTCAGGAATGTCTCCTCTGGTGTGGTCTCAAAGCTGGTCTTCTGGAACATGTTGGACACACAGCCCACTACCTTCTTCTGCCATGGTGTCTACATCTGATTTGGCGTTACTGCCGTTACTGCCTCCTCCCATTATGTTGTCGCTTCTAGTTCCTCCATGCTCGGTTCCACCTCCTCAACCAAATTGGCCCTCCCGTCACCCCTGCGCAGGCAGTTCATCAGCTTGTTGCGGTCTAGTCGTAGCTGTCCAGGTAGATTCCGCAGCTGCGTTGTCGAAGGGTGCCCCGTAGCCGACGAGGTGGCTAAGATATGCCTACTGGCAGGTGGTCTCGATGGCTTGATTTCCTGATGAGTTGGAGTCTCTCTGCAATTTCCTCTGCAATGCCCCCCCGTGGGATCAGGATGTGGTCTAGTTTTGTGCTGGCTCCCTTGGCCGAGTAGTAGGTAGGGCCGCAGTCGTAGCACGTTGTTGCTATGCTCATGACGCTCCCCTCGCTAAATGTCCTCACTGCTGCACCGCTCTTGTTCTGAATCTGATGGGGGAGGGGCGGGAGGAGAGAGGGAATAGGCAAGGGACGAGAGGAGAGAGCAGGAGGAGGAGGAGGAGGAGGAGGAGGAGGAGGAGGTGGAGGAGGAGGAGGAGGAGGAGAAGGAGGAGGAGGAGGAGGCAGGAGTGAGAAGGATGAGGATCGGAGTCAGGGGACGCGGCACGACTCCGGCACCCCAGCCAGGGCCACGAGGGCACCAGGCGACCAGACAGAGCCATTCTTCCTCGCCGCAGTGGGCCCAGGACCAGCAGCTGACAACCTGCGACCGAAAAAACAGCCCCAGGGATAGGATCGCGAGGTCCATGGGCCACACTGATTGCCGAACAGGCCACGACGACTCTGGAGGCTTTTTCCATGATTAGTACGAAGGCCTTAAGGCTGGTGCCGCCGACCCTGCAGACGGAGACGACGAGCAGGACAAGGACGTTGAAGAGCAGGGGGCGGAGGACGTCAGGGAGCAGGAGGGGGGAGGAGAAGGAGGGGGAGGAGGAGGAGGTGGAGGAGGACGAGGAGGAGGAGGAGGAGGAGGAGGAGGAGGAGGAGGAGGAGGAGCGGGAGGAGGAGGAGGACGAGGAGGAGGTGGAGGAGGAGGAGGAGGAGGAGGAGGGGGGAAATTGATAGGAGCAGGACGAGGCGAGCAGGGCTGAATGGTGCAGGAGTGGGAGGGCTGACACGGGAGAGAGGCAGGGGGGGTAACAGCGTGGCGAGCAGGAGGAGGAGGAGTAGGAGGAGGAGGAGGAGGAGGAAGAACAATGACCAGGAGGTGGGCGATGATGACGACGACGAGGTCGTCGTCGTCGTCGTCGTCGTCGTCGTCGTCGTCGTCGTCGTCGTCGTCGTCGTCGTCGTCGTCGTCGTCGTCGTCGTCGTCGTCGTCGCTCGCCCCCCCGCACTCCGCGCCAGCCACGCGCTCGTCGTGAGGTACGACTGGGTCCCGGGGTCCTGGGGCCTGGGGCTTGGGAATCCTGAACTTTTTGGGGGACAGGTTCCTGGTGCTGGGTCCTGGGAGGAAGTCCTCGGGGCTGGGTCGTGGAGGGTCCCGGGGAATTCGGAATTCTGGGTCCTGGGGCGTCCCGTGGCCGAGCGTCCAGGAGGCCGGTTCTAGAGGGTGACGGAGGAAAGGGGAGAAATGAGGATGGAGGGAGGGGGGGGGAGGGACGGAGAGGGCGTGGTAGAACGCCTCGGCTCTTGAGGCTTTGCATGGGCCCTGGGACCCCCAGGGGGGGAATCGTATCTGACGCGGGACCCCCCCCGGGACTCCCCCGGGATTTCCCCCAGGGTTCCCCCGGGACCTCCCCCGGCACTCCCTGGGGACCCCCCCGGGCCCCCCCCCCCCGGCAGGGAAGGGATCAAAGGGAAGGGGCTTCCTTCCGACTCAATGACAACGTTGCTCTTGAGGGGGTAGGCCCTGGAAAAGCGGGGGGGGGGGAAGCGGCGACAGGCCGAGGGAAGAGGAGGAAATGTGAGGAGGGGAGACGGGCCCAGGGAAAGGGGTGGCGCAGGGACAGGAGGCGACCGGCCCAGGGAAAGGGTGGGCGCAGGGACAGGAGACGACGGAGACGACGACGAGCGAACGACGGGAACGGACAAGCCCCTCACACACGCCGGCACAGGGTCGGCGGATTTCCCCTCGGTGTCTCTCTCCCGTTTCAGCCTCCTTGAGAATCGTGGCTCTTCTCCAGCTGCCTGTTCAAGGAGGGAGGACTGGCCGAGAATGAGGAGGGGGAAGGGGGGAGCTGCGAGGGGGAGGAGGAAGTGAACGTGGAGCACGGAGGAGGGGAGAGGGAGGAGACCTGGGGTCGAGACTCGCGGAAGGCGAGATTGAGCTCAGTCGAGGCTGCAGCAGAGAGCCCCTACTCAGATCGCAAGGAGGAAAAGGAACAGGAGGCGCAAGCCCACAGTCTAGCAACCGAGCTGGAGGCGAACTGCCAATGTCGACCAGATGTGAAGGTTATTCACAACGAGCGAACCGTTGCGGGGGGGGATAATAATGATCACGAGGAGGAAAAATGTGGAACGAACGAACGAAGTGCCATACGCCGAAGTGCGTGGGCAAGTGGAGCTGGATGAATAGGTGAGGCGGGGACGGAGGTGTTAGAGGCGGGGAGAGGAGATAGCGGAGCAAGATGCGGGCATGGAGTTTGGGGAGGAGGAGGAGGAGGAGGAGGAAGAGCGTCGTTGCCGGGCTTGGCGAACCCGAGGTTCGTAACGAAACGCAGGGGGGGCATCATCGACGACGCGGGACTTCACCAGAGGTCTGGCATGTCTCCCGAGACCGGCCCACTGCATTCTGGGTGGGCAACTCGCGGCACAGAACCCCGCCCCACGCAGGAGGAATCGGCCACGCGCAGAGGGGGGCGGGGGGAGCTGGAAGGCTTCTTAGGAGCACCCCGGTCTCTTAGAAGGCGCGGGTCTTCTCTACCGGTGTGAGGCTGGCGCCTTCCAAGAAGCAGCCTCCTTCTAAAAAGTCTTCCCCCTCCCCCTGCCCCCGTCTGCGCGCCGCCAAAGGAGGGGGAACACGATCAGGACTGACGAGGTGGGAGCATGCTCCTCTGCAGTTGCACACAACTTCGAATCGATTCGGTCAAGCGGTTCCGATGCTGGTGGAGGCCAGCGTGTCAGTGTCCAGCTTGCGGCGCCCGTCAAGTACGCCAGTTGATCGTTAAACTCTGGATGAGCAGGGATGCATCCGGGGGGCGTCCACGAGCTGGCGAGAGCCTTGCCACACCCTTCCAGGGTCGCGCATCAATGCGGTTGTGTGAGAGTGTGTGTGTGTGTGGTGTGTACTATGTGTGTTGTGCAGTGTGCGTGTGTGTGTGTGTGCGTGTGTGTTGCGTGGTGTGTTGCGTGGTGTGTGTGTGTGTGTCGTGTCTGTTGTGTTTTGTGTGTGTGTGTGTTGTGTATTGTGTGTGGGTGTTGTGTGTTGTGTGATGTGTGAGGTGTGTGTGTGTGTGTTGTGTTGTGTGCTGTGTTTGTGTGCGTGCGTGTATACATATCTGTGTGTGTTTATCTGTTTGGGCCTCATAGGCGCCCAGCTACGGCTGGATCTGCCTTGAAATTCGTAACGGCTCGCGAATCCACACCAGCACATCCAGAAGCGATGCCCCGCGATTTGCGCATGGAGTGCCAAGTTGCCTTGAGCGAGCCTGCAGCCTTCTCTGCCTATCGCTGAGAAGCCTTGCGGAGGCTGCGTGAAAGGAAGCCCCCTAAGGAGGCCACGACTCTGGGGGGCACCAGTGAGGTCCTAACAGATATTGACCACAGTCTCCCATCTCGAAAATCGTTTCCGAAGCCTGACTCTCAGTGGTGAGAATGGAATCGTGGGAAGGTTTTCAAGGGAATCGTGGGAATGTTCCTCCCTCGCCTTGTCCTGATTGCCCTGGTTCCCCCCCCCTCCCTCCCGTTTCCTCCCCCCTCGTCTTTCGCATCCCGTCGTTTCGCCCCGTCCTCCTCCTCCTCCTCCTCCTCCTCCTCCTTCTCATCATCATCATCATCATCATCATCATCATCATCATCATCATCATCATCATCATCATCATTATCATTATCATTATCATTATCATTATCATTATCATCGTCATCATCATCACCAGCAGCACCATCATCATCATCATCATCATCATCATCATCATCATCATCATCATCATCATCATCATCATAACCATCATCATCATCATCAGCAGCAGCATCTTCATCATCATCATCATCATCATCATCATCATCATCCTCTTGCTGCAGCTGCCCCCCGTCAAAGTAGTCCCCTCATGCACTTTACCCCCCAGCTCGTCCTCATTATTATTCCCATCACCGTCCCGTTCCTTTTCCTCCACGGTATCGCTCGGGCATAACAAACGGGGTGCGCTCACATCCACGAAGTTATAACTTTCTTTGTTCACCCCTTCTGTAGTCTGCTGTCAAGTGGAGTGGTAAGGTATCTCTCGACGGTGCCTTCTCCTCCGCCTCCTCCTCTTCCTCCTCCTCCTCCCGGTCCCTCTCATCCATCACCATCGCCGTTCCCCCCCTCTTCTCGTCCGATCGCCCCTCCTCGTTGCTCCGCTCTCTCGCCCCATGTGCCCGCCCTGAGCCCACTCCTCCCCCCATCTAACTACGGACCCTCGCCCACCTCCGCCTCTTTCTCCTCCACGCCCCGTCCGCGCCATCGCCTCCTCGACGGTGGGCCCCTCCTCGCCCGCCACCGCCGCTTCCTGCTGCGCTTGCTCCAGGCCGTGGCGCTGCTGTTCGGTTTCCTCATGGCTGGCTCGCTGGTGGCCATGGCCGGAGAGGCGCACTTCGTGCAGGCCAGGCGCTCGCCGGCGGGGCCTCCCGAGGCAACGGGTCGGAGGAGGGAAAGCCACCCATAGCGCTACCCTTCCGCCGTTTTCCCCTTCCTGGGGCCTCCTGGGAGGCTCTCGTCGCCGCCGCTGGATTCGCCTCGAAATTCTGGTCAGAACGCACCCCAGGAGAGGTCCGGGGAGTAGCAATATCGGCACCTTTTGGTGTCCCCAAGGGGATTCATCAGTCAGAGTTCGGCGGGCCGGCTCCCCCTCGACGCGGCGGCGGCGCCTCCAGAGTAGATGGGTATTCACAGGCACTTTGCCTTCCCGGCCGGCGGAGCGCAGGAGGGCGTACGTACGTGTACACCAAGCATGTGCCCAGGATTGGCCGGGACAGGATTGGTGTTGATGTACGGTGGACGTCGTCCTAGCAAGCAAAACGGCGGCACGTGGCGGAAGCAAAAGTGAGACACCAGCAGTTTTGGATCCAGGATTTCCGGCACCAGCATCACTTGGTTGCACACATCGTTCAGATTGTGAATCCCCGCCGGTGTTGAAAACATTCGGCCTGCAGGTTTGCGGTTCACAGGTGGATGCATACATATGTTCAGATGGGGTGGTTGCGGTTACAGATGAGGTAGGGACATATGTTCAGCATGTTTGGTACTACCCGCGTCGCCGCCGCCGCGGATTTTGGATGCGCGCCTGAGCCTGCGCTGGCGTTCAAGGTTGAACGCCCTCGGGGGGTCAGTTTCGGACCTTCAGGCCCACCCAACATGAACCCAAGGCGAAACATCCACATGAAACATGCGGTGGCCTACAGCACCTTCGGGGCGCCCAGCGTCGGAGTCGTCAACCAGTCAGGTTCGCGCGGTGTCAGGCGCCAGAGCCGACGTCGTCACGGAGGGAATTTTCGACGCTTCGCTTATCCTCACCAGCCGAAAAGCGGGCCCGCTGACGGGCCAAGAGCGACTCCAACACCCAAGGTTGACGTGCTCCCGCCACGGCGTACCTCAGCTTACCAACACCAAGGTACAGGCATCAGCCCAGAGAGGACCCATGGTCCCCCCACCTCCAGCTACCCGTGGCCCTGAAGGGGCCTGTTTCACCTCGCTGCGCCCGGCTCAGGCCGTAATACCCGGGGCCACCCTCCGCTGGGGCGAAGGCTCACCCCCACATTTCACCCATGGCGCAGCTTAGCTAGACAGCCTTCGCTGGATAAGTGGACCACCCGCCACCTTTTCGGGCCAGCCGCTGGGGTATCCCCTGCATGCACCCGACATCTCACCCTCACTTGCCCTGCGGGGCCACGCCTGGCTTACGCTGGCAGAACCCCCAGGCACCCAGACTTTGCTGTCCGATGACGACAGCGTGCCCCGCGGTACCCTGGGCTGGAGGTGGGCCCGAGCATCCCCCCCTCCTGCCTGGTCGCTGGCTCGACCTAGCTAGGTCTCAGTTTTGTCGCGCCGCAGGCGCCAGAGCATACACACCGTGCTCCTGCGGCATGAAGGCCGCGCGGCCAGAAAGACAGCCCCAGGCCGCTGCTGCCGTACGCCCCAGTGGAGCGTTGAGGCAGCGGACCGCGGCTGACCGCCCGCGCCGCCGAAAGTTCGGACCCCGGGCCCACCCCTCCCTGGGCTCCTCCCCCCCCCGTCGTTCTCCCCGGCCCATTGCGACCTCGCCCTGGGGTCCGACCCGCTCTCCTCTCTACGTATCAGCGGCGGTTAGCTGCGACCTTGGATGAACCAACACACACCGTCCCCACGGATGCGTCGGCCTCCGCGTTGGCAGCCCTGCCTTCAGCGAGTCAGTCCATTGGTTGCAGACTGCCCACCCTGGACCACACCAGCAGTGGACAAGACCGACCGTTCGGTATTACTTCCCTCTCAGCGGCGGTTAGCTGCGACCCTGGATGCCCCTCGGGGAATGGCGGCCGTGTCCCCTGGCCAGGTGCGCCTGGGATCCGTACGAGGTGCGGTGATGTCTGTCCCCACCGCCTCTCTCCTCGGGTCCCTCTCGGGCCGGGCTCAGGCCACGTCCACTTGCCCTTGGACTGTTGGGTGGTCGTTTCCCTGCGCCCCACCCTCGCCGGATGTCCCTTGGGAGCCCCCCCGCGTGGGGGGTCGGTGATGTCTGTCCCCACCGCCCCTCCCCCCGGGTCTCCCCCAGACTGGGTTGCCGACAGGCTTGTATCCTGGTCTCGGAGGCGTTCGTCCCCACACCCCAGGGCTGCCCAGGACCCCTGCTGACAGCGGTAACTTTACCTCACCTTCAGCGGCGGTTAGTTGCGACCCTGGACGCCCGCGTGGAATGACGGATTCGACGGAGACCCTGGAGCCCTGCGGGGAATGACGGATTCGGCGGATAAGGCAGTCCCACGGTGGCCTTCGGCGTACATCAGGCGGCGGCTGCCGTGCAGTTCCACCCTGGACGCCCAACCTTGCTGGCGATGTTCCTTCCCACCAGCTTGGCCTCACGCAGCGCTTCAGCCGGCGCCCGCGCAGCTGTGCTTGGATGGCCCCCTGCAGGTTCGGTGGCTCCTCATGTTGCGCGGGTTGACGGCCCCTGGAGGTCAGCCCGCTTCGAGTGGTTCAGCCTTCGCAGCCTCGGCCGCCCCCCAGGCCCGTCCCACCCCCAGCCTGGTATTCGACGTTTCTCGGCGGAGCAGCTCAGCTGGCTCGCACACGCCGTTGGCGCGGCCTGGGCTTGGCGCCCCAATGGCGACGGCCCATCGCTTACCACGTCTGGACACTCCGAAGGCATGTTGGACGCGCAGCCCACAGCTATCGTCCTCACGCTCCTTCGGGTTTTGCCCCTCGGCACATCTTGAACTCACCAGCATTTTGCCGTGTTGCAAGTGCTCGAGCACCCTGGACGCCCCCAGTTTGCCGCTCCTCCCGCGCAGTCAGCCGCTGCTGTATGAGTGGTCCGGCCGGCTTGCGGCGCGTTCTGCTGCTAATTAGGCCGCTGTCGTGACCCGTAGTGCTCCTGACTCCGCTTGCGCCTTCGCTTGCGGACGCGACCGAAAAAACATATCCGCACCAGCCCATTCAAAAACAGGCACTAGGCGAGCTGCCGTGATCAGGGATGTGCAACAGCATTCGGACGACGACGACGACGACAGGAGTCAATCTCAAGGCCTTGGCGATCGTTCGCTCTGGGAACCTCGTGGGAGCCTCTTGGGACCACAGCATGGCCCCCTTGCGGCCATTTCGGAGGCCTCCTAGGCTCTCTTGGTCCTTCTTGGAGGTTTCGGAGGCTGTCTTGTACCGAAGAAGAAACAACGCCATAAACATCAACGTTTGGCGCTCCGCGCGATTTTCTTGGATCCGCGCTGGGGCCCCCCGGCGGTGCCTCCAGCGCCGCCCCTGGCGCGCTCCGCGCGCCAGGAAAGGACGGCCCAGCGCGGATCCAAGAGATCCGCGCGGACCTCCAAGAGTATATATGTATGGTTTATTCTCTTCCTCTGTTGTAGCCATTTTGGAGGCCATTGATCAAAGAAGGCGGGAGGGTCCCTGACAGTGCCCCCCTCGTCGGGGACCGGGAAAACGCCTCTTGCGGCCCTCTTAGGCCACTCTTGAGGCGGTCTTGGGGCCGTTTGGGGCCCTCCTGGGCCACTCTTGGGGCCATCATGGGCAGCATTGGAGCCATCCCGAGGCCTCAAGAGCCCATCGGACGCGCAAAGGCGAGAGGGCAAGCCAACCTTGGAGAACACAGTGGCGTCGACGGCTGTGGGCCTCCGTTGGGGGCTCGGAGGCCGCCTGGGGCCGTCCTGGGGCGGTCTTAGGGGGCTCTTGGAGGCATGGTGGAGGCTAGCTTGAGCCATCGTGGGATACCTTGAGCGACCTCGGAGGTCATCTTGTGTTTGGGGCCCATTTGGAGCCACTCGGGGCCAACAAGGGGTCCAGGGTGCAAAGCAGGTCTGGTGGATTCGGACGTTTTTCCTGTAAGTCTTCCTGGATATCTTTCTCTCTCCCTTGCTCTCTCTCTCTCTCTCTCTCTCTCTTTGTGTCTCTGACACGTTCACTTTCTCTCTCTCTCTCTCGGTCTCTATGTGTCCTTCCTGTGTGTTCTCTCTCTCTCACACTCTCTCTCTCCTCCTCGATATATATATATATATATATAGAGAGAGAGAGAGAGAAAGAGAGAGAGAGAGACCTATACACACACACACACCTTGTTGTTTCTCTTTAGGTATGTTTAGAGAGGTTGCCAAATAATTGTTGGGAGCTCGACCGGATTCTTCCAGAGGGTCCCGATTATGCCGAAGGATCCTGAAGGATACCTAATGACTCCTGTGGATTGCATTGGGTTCCATCGGTGATCTTATGGAAGAAGGGTTATGTTAGTAAGGGTTCCTGAGCAAGGCATCCTGTGGTAAGGAGTATGTAGTAACGAGTATGTCAGTTTCGGTTATTCGGTGTGTTTCCTGCTAGTCGATATTCAGTAGTGATGTGTCTTTTAGTAGGGAGTCCTTGGTATGGATTTGCCGCCCCAGTAAGGCCTCCTATAGTAAGGGCTCCTGAGCCAGGACTCCATTGGTAAAGGGTTTCTTTGCTGGGTTCTTTCGTACGAGTTCCTTAGGACTGGTTCTCTTGTGAGAGGAAGGATCCGTCCAGTATTGTTTTTTTTGTGTCAGGGTTCTTTAGCACGGCAACCTTTAGCAACGGCTCTATAGTTACATTGTTTCGTAAGGATCCCCTTAGTAGGGCTCTCGCACAATTATCTCAATAAGGATACAATTGGCACGGATTCCTTACTAATGATTAGTTGATTGAAGGTTCCGAAGGAAGGATGGCTTCAGAAAAAGGTTCCATGGTAAGGAGCTGTTCCGCACTGATTCCGGAGCAAGGAATCCAGAATGAGTAATCCGTTGTGCGGTTCGTTTTCAATACAGAAGATGTTCTGTTATGTCAGTAAGGATTCAGCAATGCAGGCAAACCGAGCCGAGAAAGGGTGGTCGACGTTGCCTAGTAAGTGGTCCAGGCCACCGATAGCACGATGAGGGCGCAACATTGCCGTGGCATTACAGGATTCAATGATCAGCGATAGCTCTCCTGGCTTCGGTTCGGGTGGCGTTCTAAACGGGACAAAACTAGAAACGTCGGAAATCGATACAGGACCAAAATTTGGCCCCTCGGAGTACCCTCGAGGCCTAGAATCAGAGTCCCAAGGAAGGGGGTTGACAGTTGAGCCTATCCCTAGGCTAGAGTCAGCAAAACGGATGAAATCGCTGGCTTTCCCCCCCTCAGGCTGCGCTGCCTGCGGGGGGCGATGGATGTAAAGTCTGCTCGTAACCGAGCTTGGCATCAGCGGGAGACTCAGGAGAGGAAGAAGTAGGCACCGAAGCCGTTGAAGACGCCGCCGTAGACAGCGCCCGTACTTTCGCCTCCTTCAGCGTGTACTGCTCCTGCGGCCTCTGCTTCAGCCGCTCCAGCGGCATGCCCTGGCGGCTCTCCCACTCGAGCACGCTTGGGCCGCAACCGCTTGAGCTGCTCTGGGTGCTCCAGCTTGAAAGCGTCAGCCTTCTTCTGGACCTCTCCGAACGACGCGATGAGAGCTTCCTTGAGAGCTGCTTGCAGATGCTGCACACGACGGTCTGCCTCGTCCCGCTCTTCCTTGGACGACTCGTACTCACCGTCGGCGCCGGGAAGGCTCGAGATACTGATGGGAATCTCCGACACCTTGCCAGTGATGATGTCCGAAAAGGCCAAGGCCACAACAGGGGGCTTATGATCATGATCCACAGAGGCGTGTAGGGACGCCACACAGCAGCGCCGCGGCCAGGAGGAACCGTGGCGGAGAGATGATTCCATGCTTTCACCTCAAAATGAGGCGCTCAAACTTGCACACTGATGGACAGCACAAGGAAAGACTGGCCTGACGGGCACAACACCCGCTCCAATCCAGAATGGGCTTGAGAGGAGGGGGAGAAGGATGAGGAGGAGGAGGAGGAGGAGAAGGATGAGGAGGAGGAGGGGGAGGAAGGCTCGCCCGTCCGGGCTTTCTCGTCGGATATCCAGATCCATCGATCAGCAATGTGTTCCTCTCCTTCCCTGCCTCTGGCCCGCCTTCTTGCTTGCCCGCCACTCTGTGGTGCTCCACAGGTCGCACTTGTCGAGAAATTCGCTTGTGGGTAGTTGTCTTATTCAATGTTTTGCCGAAAGGCGCGGCCCTCGCACCCCTCCCCTCACGGAGTAGATGGCTGTTTTTGGCGCCTGTGTCAAGCAGGTGAGGTCCGGATCCAGACCCTCCCCCTTCCCCCTCCCCCTTCCGCCCAATGTCGGAACGCCGAATAAGAAAACGTTCAGTTGTCTGAGTGTTGTATCCGCCGCGTGCTTGCTGAGGCGTAACATTGTGTTCGTGACTGCGAGGTGACTTCGTGTGGGATCGTCGCATGTCGATGTGGCCATCGTTCTGGATGGGACTGAAGCCTCAGAGGTGGGTGCAAGCACGTCTGTCCTGTCTTGGGGCGGGTGGCGTCGCCTGCTGTCTTTCAGAGAGGAGGGTCGGCCCTCCCAGAGGCGGCGTAGCCAGTCTGGCTCTCAAGCTGCACGAAACGCGGACCCGCCCGGCCACGGAACTTTCGGGTTGACCCAAGAGGGGCTCCAGCGACAAGGTGGTGGTGCAATAGATTTGTTGCAATAGATCTGTGGGGTTGCAATAAATTCGGGGCGTGCAATAATTACATTTCGGGGCGTGAATGTCTTGCTGTACTTTCGCGTGCCATACACTACTTCAATACAATTCTCCGGCGCAGTACATGTGCAGTACAATTTCCCCACATCTATTGCACCACCTCCTTTCAGCTGGACCCCCTTTTGGGTCACCCAGGGACTCTCAGATGCCATGGTGGACCTTTTCAAGCAGTTCCTTATCGACAAGACAGGCAATCCACTAAAAGGCTGGTTGCAGTTCTTTGATAAGAATGGCGACAGCAAGGTCGACAGGCTCGAGTTCGAGCAGTCCTTGGAGAAAATGGGCTACGACGGCAGTGCGGCCGAGCTGTTCGATGAGCTAGATTTGGATGAATCTGGCTCCTTATCGATCAGCGAAGTTGATATCTGGAGCTCGCAGACTTGGTCTGCCTTCAAGCGCTGGTGCGTCCACGCTTTCCGCTCGAAGGATGAATTCGTTTCCAAGCTCTGCAAGGACTACGAGCCGTCGGGCAGTGCTGCCAAGGGCGAGCCGCTTGAACGCAGGGGCGACTGTGCATCCGTAACTAGGCAGCACACCAGGGAAGAGTCTTCCCCGCTGACATCCAGTGGCCTTCGGCCCATCCCGCCCGGGTCGTGGACAAGAGGCTTCCCGTGTATCTCTTGGTTCCCTTCTGTACTTGTCGGAGGCCCTTTGGGGGCCATCTGGGAGGCTTCTGGGAGCTTCTGGGGGGCTCTGGATGGCCTTGCGGGGCCTGCTCGCAGTCTCGGGGGCCATCCGGGGGTGGATGACTCCAAATGTCGATTCGAGTTTCGGGGGGCCTTCTTGGAGCGGTCTTGGGTGCCTCTGGGGCCGTCCTGGCTGCTCGTAGGACGGAACAGACGAGACTGTTATAATCGTTAGGAGCATTAGCTTGGCGAAGGACCCAACCAGATGCAGCTGCGAGTCTCGCAGGAGATGCCCCTCTCATCATCACGGCGTAACGCGGATGGGAGACCCGAAACGTGCGTAGGGTGTGCCCAAATGAGCGGGGGACGCATGCGAACCTGCCTCTGTGGCCTTCGTTCAGATCTCTCTATGGGGCCACGAAGCGTGTGAAGAGTGTGCCGAAATGGCCCGAGGCCGCCATGCGAACCCTGCCACTGGGGCCTTCATTCAGAGCTCCCGACGGAGCCACGAAGCGTGTGAGAAGTGTGCCGAGATGGCCCGAGGCCGCCATGCGAACCCTGTCACTGAGGCCTTCGGTGGAGCTCCCAATGGGGCCACGATCCTCGTGAGGGGTGTTCCGAGATGGCCCGAGGCCGCCATGCGAACCCTGTCACTGGGGCCTTCGGTGGAGCTCTCAATGGGGCCACGATCTTCGTGAGGGGTGTGCCGAGATGGCCCGAGGCCGCCATGCGAACCTGGCCACTGGGGCCTTCGGTGGACTCTCTATGGGGCAACGAAGTGTGTGAGGGGTGTGCCGAGATGGACCGAGGCCGCCATGCGAACCCTGCTACTGAGGCCTTCGGTGGAGCTCTCTATGGTGCCACGATCCTCGTGAGGTGTGCCGAGATGGCAGGACGCCGCCATGCGAACCCTGCAACTGGGGCCTTCGGTGGAGTTCCCTCTGGGGCCGCGAACTGTTTGAGGGGTGAGCCGAACTGGTTGGCATGCGGAGGGCAGAGGCACGGATGGGCAGGGGCAGGGATGGGAGGGTGAGGAGAATAGGAGAGGAGCGCGTGGCATTGTCTCTTCAAAACGTAGACCCAACACCACAGGATGGTTGGAATGATTAGCTTGACGAAGGACCCAAGCATATGTAGCTGCGAGTATCGCAGGAGATACCCCTCTGATCACAAATAGCGCGCCGCGAGAGGGATGGGGCACGGTGCAACGCGGATGGGAGCCCCGACAGGTGCGTGGGGCGTGCCCACATGAGCGGGGGACGCATGCGAATCTTGCCATTCTGGCCTTCGTTCACAGCTTTTTCAAAAGGGGCAACGGTCCTCGTGAGGGGTGTGCCGAACTCGCCCAAAGCCGCCGTGCGAACCTTGCCACTGGGGCCTTTGGTGACGCTTCATATGGGGCCACGATCTCGTGAGGGTTGTGCCGAGATGGCCCGAGGCGAACCCTGTCACTGAGGCCTTCGGTGGAGCTCCCAATGGGGCCACGATCCTCGTGAGGGATGTGCCGGGATGGACCGATGCCGCCATGCGGACCTTTCCACTGGGGCTTGCGGTGGAGCTCTCTATGGGGCCACGATGCTCGTAAGGAGTGTGCCGAGATGGCCCGAGGCCGCCATGCGAACCTGGCCGCTGAGGCCTTCGGTGGAGCTCCCCATGGGGCATGGATCCTCGTGGGGGATGTGCCGAGACTGCCCGAGGCCGCCATGCGAACCCTGCCACTGGGGCCTTCGGTGGAGCTCTCTGTGGGGCCAGGATCCTCGTGAGGGTGCCGAGATGGCCCGAGGCCGACATGCGGACCCTTGCCACTGAGGCCTTCGGTGGAGCTCCTTATGGGGCCACGAACCTCGTGAGGGGTGTGCCAGAATGGTTGATATGTGGAGGGCGGAGGCCGGGATGGGCAGAGGCAGAAATGGGAGGAGGAGAGGGGGGGAGGAGGAGGAGAGGAGAGGAGAGGAACGCGGGGCAATTTCCCTTGAAAACAAGAACCCGCAACCACAGTTTTGTTGGGAAAACCCATGGGTCGGTTGTATGAGTCGGGCGTCTTGGGGCGGCCCTCACGGTCTGTGAGACGGCCCAAAACACTCCTTGAATTAGATTAGTTTAGTGCATGTTTGAAGAATGGGTTCCGAACCACGCTCCCGAGTCTTGATAGAACGTCACGCAGGGATCCATTGGATCCCCAGCGAGCGCCCAGGAGTTCCTGGGATCCAGGGCACGGGACCATGAAATAGTAGTTCAATGCGCGAAATTGTGGACCTCCAAATTATAGAGATGTGCATTACGGTGAGTGTGCATGCGTGCCCGCAAGATTTGACATGTGGGGTGGTATATATATATATATATATACACAATTGTGGAACTAGATTTGTTTGCATAGATTGAAGCACTGTGCACTCTTTGTTCTATAACCAACTTAGTACAAGCTACGCGGTGAAAGCTATGTGGGGCAACGTATGCGTTGTGCGCACCGTGTCGCAATATATCTATATGTACTCTTCGCGGTGCGTCGTATTAGGCGTAACGTATGGGATGCAGTCTAATCAATGGCGTTTGTATGGTGCATGGCAGTACACATATTGAGAGTTCGAAGGGACCTGTGAACAATCCACGCAGTGCCTCACGGCACTGTGGTGGCGGACCAGGCAAGATGGGCCGCGCTAAGTCGTTGTTAGAACGAAGCCGCACCACCGGCTCCGATATGGCATCGGGGTTGACAACGCCCCGCAAGGGGCGGACAGCGATTGGGCGAAGCTTCACCGTTGGCCACAGCACGGAATCGGAGGTGACAGGCTTCATTCAGCAGCAGTTCGTAGAGAATGCGTCGCGGATGGGATGGTACGGTGGACTCGAGATGATGTTGTTCACGTGGTTGGACATCCGGGGCGTCGGACTTGTCAAATCTGAAGACGTGTCGGTTTGGTTCGACGCAGAGCACGCGTTCCAGCAACGACGGATGGCCTTTCGGAAAAAGCGAACGCAGCAGTTAGCGCAAGCGTTGGGGAACCGCACGGGTGAACAAGCACAGCACGCGCTGAAGGCTTTCAAAGTGTTCTTGCGATCCAAGTGGCGATGCTTGTTCCATGCATGGCGATCCAAGCTCGACCGCGACGGCTCCATGACGGTCGCGCGGAAGGAGGTTTGGAGAACATGCTCGGAGCTTGGCTGGCACGGCGACGTGTCAGCGCTGTGGCACTCGCTGGACTGCGACGACAGCGGCTCGTGCACGCTGGACGAGTTCACTCTTGCGGAGGCCCGCCCCCTGGCAGTCTTCAAGCGGGCAGCCGAGGAGCGTTACGGCAGCGTCGTGAAGCAGTTCCGCGCCCTGCTGAAGGCTGCGAAGGTCAAAGGCCCCGGCGGCAGGCTCGACAAGGTCAGGGCTCGGTTCGATTCCGCCGATTCGATTCGATTCGATTTCGTCGGCTTCCCATTCCGATTCCGATTCCGATTCGATTCGATTTCGGATTCCGATTCGGGCTCCGACTTCTTTTTGGAGGCATACTAGCTTGCTGATGTCTGCCGATTCGACTCTTCCCGACTCGGCTGCCGATTACAGCCGAGCCGATTCGTTTCGATCGCCGATCCGACTTGTCGATTCGATTCTGGCCCGTCCTGCAAGGTGGCCTGGTGTGCAGCCAGCCATCAGCTGGGCTGCAAGTACGATGCCCCCCTCGTATTCGACCTCGTGGACTGGGAAGAGGCGGGCAGCCTATGCTTGCGCGACCTGCGATTCATGGACGTGTGGGTTCCAGAGGTGTGGCTGGCAGAGCAGCCGGACTCCGAAGCCGCCGAGGACTTCAAGAGAGCCCTTCTTCAGCATCATGGCGGTTCTGTCGTGAGGGCCTGGCGGGTGGGCTTAGACAGGGACGGCACAGGCTTGGCCACGTACAAAGAGTTCAAGCTGGCGGCCCAGAAAATCGGCTTCGAGGGCAACGTTCCAGGCGCATTCCTCGCTCTGGACAGCGATTTCTCCGGGTGCATCGGGCTGGACGAGTTGAACCCCGACGCCGCAAACGAGTTGCGGCGCTTCCGGCATTGGGCGCATCAGATGTTTGGCTGCGTGGTGATGGCCTTCGAGGTGCTGGACGAGGACCGCTCGGACTCCGTCAGCCGGAAAGAGTTCCGGAGGGTCATGAAGAGCCATTGCTACAAGGGCGACCTGGAGCACCTGTTCAACACGCTGGATAGCAACGAGAACGGACATCGGACGGGGCTAGGACGAGGATAAGTCCGTTCCAGTTTTTTCCGGAACGCTCTGAGAAGGCCGCGGCGCCCGAGACATTTTCCAGAGCCACAGGGTCTCAGAGATTACCGATCCTTCCTCACCCGATGTTTTGTCGTCATCCTGGCTCCGTCTTAGGACAGATCAGCAGGGCCGAGGTCGCCTTCCTCGACGAGTGGTGCGAGCCTCTCTCCATGCGCGAGGATCCGCGATATATTCTCCGTCGTATATTTGTACAAGCACGGGCGGGGCAATCCCCCCCAAAAAAACTGGACTCCCGGGATCTGGGGCTTTGGGGCCCTCCGGACGAGCCTCGAAGCGCCCCCCCGGGCCTCGCAGGGCGCTTTGTCAAGCCTTCCCAGCAGGGCGATCAGGGGGGTTATCGGAGACGACCCAGAGACCCCCAAGACAGCACAAGAGCGCTCCAAGAGTAACCGACGTGACCTCAAGATGGCCTCCAGAAGGCCTGAAGAAAGCATGAAAAAACAACTTTTGTGAGGCCCCCAGAGGCTCTCCGAGGAGGAGCCTCCGCAAAAAAGAGCTGAGGAGGATGGGGAGAATGCCCAGGGTGTGGCGAAAGTTATGGAAAAAACCTGGAGGAAAGATAACGGATAACATTATCATAGCTGTGATGCCAGAAATGGTAACAAGGAGTTATCGTTAAATTGTCGGCTTGACCTTCCTGCTATTCCGCCTGCATGCCAAACTTCAAGGACCAAGGTGCATGGCCCGAAGCGCCACTGCAGCCTTTATATATATATATATATATATATATATACATACATACATACAGACACCCTCCAATGGATTTTTCCCTGGTCCTCGGCGGAGGGTGGCGGCGAATAACACACTACCGAGATCTGGCGACTTTGTATACCGCTACCCTCTCAGAAAGTACGGTGGGAGCGTTCGTTAAGGAATGTGTCCGAGAGGCTGTAGACCCTGGGGGTTCCTTATCCAATGGGGGCGGTGGTGATATCCATGGCCAATCCGCGGTTGGAGTTCCACCAGCCTTCAGACCCTGGATTCCTTCTCTAAGGCTTTTTCATCCAATGCCCCACCCGTACAGCCAAGACGCTGAAATAAGGAACAGTTTGGATTCGGAAGGGGCTCGATGTCCCTTACGTCCTTCCGTGGTTGTTCCTCTAGCCCTTCTCATGCACCCAGGCTTTTCTGAAGCCACAGAGGGGCCTCGTTCCTTACCTGGCGTTCCTCCTTTCAGCAGCCCGACTGTATGCAAAGTTCGTCGCAGGGTGTCTGTCTACCCTTTGCCGTCGTGGCGTGGAGGACGACGGCGGCGACGCGCAGCGGCGCGGCCCGCCGCCCCCCCGCGAGGGCGCCGCGCCCGGCGGCGCCCCCGCGGGCGGGCCGGAAGAGGCCCTGCCGGCGCTGCCGAGCGGTGGGCCGCGGGCGCCGGCCTCTGCGGAGCTGCGCCGCGGCCTGCCCGCGTGGTGGGTGGCGGGGCCGGGCCGTGGCTGGAGCACCCCGAGGTCAGAGGTCCGTTGCCAGGCGTCGGGTCGGGCCCGTCCCTCTGCGGGAGGAGGTGTCGGAAGAGTGTACGGTAGGTTTGCGTCGTGTCGACCAGCGGCGACCCCAGCGCGGGCGTTCAAGGTTGAACGCCGCCGGCGACCCAGAATCGATCGATGTTGAACGATCCGACGTTGCGGCAGCGGCCGATCGTTCAAGGTTGAACGATCCAGCGCGGTGTCGGGAACCAACGCCGGGGTCGACACGGCACGGACCTGCAGTACACAAGTACTCAGGGGACGCTTCTTGGACCCTGGTTGACTCTTGGGGGGTATTCATTCGTCGAGATCCGCCTGCATGGGGGACAGGCCCGACCCAACTCCAGGCCACCAATCGGGAAGCTCGACATGGGTGCGGGAAGATGGGGTACGATGCCCAACAGCGGTTCGTGTTCATTTTGGACAAGACTCGCTGTCCGCGCCGCCGCTGACGTTGTTCACTGAAGACCAGAAGCCGCCCGCCCATCAGCGGCCGCTGTTTCTTTTGGACAACATTTGCCGTTGGGCATTGTACCCATTTTCTCCGTACCCATGTCAGGCGTCCAAATCCTAGATGGGGTCGGAGAAGATGGGGTCGGAGGACCGCGCCGCATCGCTGATGCATCGGCGATTCGGCTCGATGCGAAGCTCGATTTTCTCCACGCCGACTTCGCCGATGCGTCGCCGACGTCGGCGATGCATCGCCGATGTGGCGCGATCCTCCGACCCCATCTCTTCGGACCCCATCTAGGAGACCTCGATCGACTACACGGAAGACATTACGCCCCCTGAGATCCTTCAGTTTAGCGATTTGGTTTCTGATCTCCTCCATGGCGACGGGGCAAAGGAGAATTACTGAACTGATGGATTTCGGTATGCCAGGACACCGAAGTTCTTCAGTTCAGTAATCCTTGCCTTCCCAGTCGCCATGGAGACGATCAAGGGCCAGATCGCTGAGCTGAAGGATCTCAGGGTGCGTGTAAGAGTGACCCTTCGCTGGAGTGACCTGTGGTGTGCGGGCTCACCGGGGTCCCCCCGATCGCCAAGCACGGTATGTGGTAGTGGTTGCTTGCGCACTTGTGGTCGGTCCCCCCGCCCCTGGTCTTGCCCATGGTCACTCTTGCGTGTAGCCGAGAGGAGGAGATGAACCAGTGGCGAGGCGCCCTAGCTTGCCCACAGGCCCGCCAAGGAAAGTTCTAGGAAACTTCTGTTGTTTGCAGGAGACGTTCTCAGAACCTTCCTGGCTGAGACGGTGTTTGGTGCTACTAGCGACATTGTTTCTGTTATTCGAACATCTTCGGAAACGAACACCTGGTGGCTCTAAGCACATGACGTGGTGGACCTCCTCAGGGATGCTGGGACCGTCGGCCCCCGCTCACGGAGAAGGCACCGAGCACCGCCGCCGCTGCCCTTCCCTCGCCATCCACGGCGGGGCCCGCCTCGAGACCCGGGTCAGAGCGCAGCCCCTGGAGAGGTCCTCGGACGGGGCTGTGTAGGATGAGGATGCATCCCCAGACATGTTCGCGTCGTAAAGAAATCAGGACGGGAGGTTTTCGGCGATTTTCGGCCTCAGGGGTCCCTCGCAGGGCCTCGGGACCGTCGAAAAACGATTCAGGACGAAAAACTGGTCACGGGGAAAGGGTCGGGACTTCCAGGGACCCCGTCCTGAAGAAATCAGAACGTCGCATATCTAGGTCCGTTCTGGAGCGTTCCAGAGCGCTCTCAGAGCGCTCTGGAACGCTCCGAGATGGCCTCGGCGCCCGAGACATCCTCCAGGGCCGCCGGATCTCAGGGACTCCCGATGTATCCTCACCCGGACTTCTCCCCGTCCTGGCTTCGTCCCAGGTCCGGAGAGCGGCGGTATTTGTACAGTAGAGGCCCATGCCAAGAAACACCCTGCTTGCCTCCAGGGTGCCCTGGGTTCCTTGAGTTTCGATGGTTTTGCTGTGGGAAGCGCGACGCTCCCGCACCGAGCATCCATGGACGTCCTGGGGTCTCAGGGTTGGGTTTCTTGTGGATGGTTTCTTGTGGTCGGGCCTCGAGGAGGAGGAGGAGGAGGAGGAGGAGGAGGAGGAGGAGGAGGAGGAGGAGGAGGGAGGAGGGAGGAGGGAGAGGAGGAGGAGGAGGAGGAGGAGGAGGAGGAGGAGGGAGGAGGGAGCAGGAGCAGGAGGAGGAGGAGGAGGAGGAGGAGGAGGAGGAGGAGGAGGAGGACTGCACCCTTGCCTCCCCCCATGCAGGGCCGCCCGCCCGTGGCCGGAGGAGAGCACGAGCCCCGCCGCCAGGCTGGAGGCCCCCCAGCTCCTCTCGCTCATCGGCTGGTCCGAGGCCGGCGAGTGGGCCTCGGCGCTGGGCTCGGGCCCGCAGGCCCGCATCGTTGGACCCATCCCCATCCCCGTCCCCCTCGAGACCCCCACCGAATTGCCACCCCAGCTGGGGCTGGGCCCCTCGAAGCCCGACGGGAGCGGCCTGGATCTCCCCACCTTGGGGGGCTGCATCCGCCGCTGGGGACGGGGGGTCGGATCAACGATGCTCCGCAGGGCAAGCTCGCCGCCCTCCTGGGCCCGCGGCCCGCGTCCGAGCCGCTGCCGGCGTCGCCGCAGCGGGGCGCGCCCTTTCACGGCGGCGGCGCCGCGGTGGGCGCGGGCGGGCCCTCCGGCGGCCTGGCCCGCCAGGTGGCTCGCCGGGCGAGGGCCCCGCAGACGGCGCCCGCCCGCTGCGCGAGGGAGCTGGCCAGCGGAGCCTGGCAGCCCAGGGCAGCGTCGGCGGCGCCGCGGGGAGCCGCAGCCGCGGAGGAGTGGTCGCGGTGCTCAGCTGGCGGGGCCTCGCAGGCGCAGGCCGCTCGCGCGCGGTCGCCGCTGCTCGTGGGCGGCTCCCCAGCGTCGACCCCAGGCTGTGCGGGCGGCCGCAGTCTGCACAGTCGGCCTTGATTAGTAGGTCGACCCTGCCAAGTCCAGGGTACCCTTGTGTTCTGTCTTTGGAGACCCGTGCCTTTGATTCCCCTGTGGCTATGTAGCCCTCGGAAGGGTCTTGTGTCCTCTCGCGTGTCCTCTCCAATCAAGCCCGACTGTAGGCTTCCCAGTTGGGGTCGGGGCAGACGGTTCGGAGAGTCGCGCCGCATCGTCGAGGGGCATCGGAGGTGCGCTCGATGTACAGCTCCCTCTGCTCCACGCCGACGCCGCCCATGCATGGCCGGTGCGTCGGCGGTGCGTTGACGATGTGGCGGGATCCTCCGACCCCTTCTGCTCTCAAGCAGTGGCGAAGAGTCCAGAATTGCCTAAAGGCCCGCCAAAGAAGGTTCCTAGAACATTTTGCGGCTTGCACGAAAAATACTTTAATCATATTTCTGGCTGAGACTGTCTTGTTTTCTGTTTTATCCTCCGGCTTTGTGTTATAAGAGCATTGTTTTTGTTACGAGGACATGTCGCGGTAGGCCAATAGGAATGCTGGGACGGTCGTTCCCTGCTCAATACAGTCGACTCGGATTAGTAGGTCGACCCTGCCAAATCAAGGGTACCCTTGTGTCCTGTGTCTCGCGACCCGTGCCTCCTGCACTCCTGTGGCAATGTGGCCCTCGGACGGGTCTTGTGCCCTCTCGCGTGTCCTCTCCAATCGACTCCCACTGTAAGCTTCCCACTTGCAGTGCCCTCTAGCCAGGGAAGGTTCCGTGGCCGCTTCGGATCGGGTCCCCGCCCGTCCTCGCGCTGCCCCGCCCCAAGTGCCACCTCATCCCCTCCCTCGGCGTCCCGCTCCAGGGTCTGTCAGGAGGGGAAAACACACAGACACAAGTAATCGTCGATTCCCAGGAAAAGATGGAAAGTACGGACAATGGGGGGGAAGACGAAAATCCAAAAAATATGGGAAAATATTGGGAATCTTGGCATTTGGTGTGTATCCTCTTGCACAAGGTGTCTAGAGCTCCGACTACTTTATTTCGGCACGGCACACCCCTCATCACCTGCACATTCCACCAGCCAGCGCGACCCTCCATCCCCCCCCCGCATCCACCCACCCACCAGCACCCACCAGCCAATGCGCCCCTCCGCCCCGACCCCTTTATTTCGGCACGGCACACCCCCTCCGCTCCGACCACCACCAGCACTCACCAGCCAGTGCGCCCCTCCGCCCCGACCCTTTTATTTCGGCACGGCACACCCCTCCGCCCCGACCCCTTTATTTCGGCACGGCACACCCCCTCCGCCTCCCCCCACCCACCAGCCAGCGCGCCCTCCAGCCCCGACCCCTTTTATTTCGGCACGGCACACCCCTCCGCCCCGACCCCTTTCTTTCGGCACGGCACACCCCCACGCCCCCCCCCCGAGCATGGGCGTCCCTCCGGCCACGGACCCATTTTATTTCGGCACGGCAACACCCTCCGGCCCGGACCCCTTCTCCGGCCGACCCCTTATTTT